GAAATTCTCAAATCTTCTATTAAAGAACCAGGCTGCTATATGTGAGTTGTCAATAATGTTCTGTTATCATTGTTTAGCTGATTCTGCTTCATCCCTAATGTTTTCACTATTCAGCATTAAGTTGTGTAATTTAGGCTAATACAAATCTGCCGCATTAGAGGTAAAAAATATTAAACCTTGATGTTCAATTTGCTTTATAAAATCTTACAATTTATTTCTTCGTACTATCTAGAACTGCTGAGATTCTCGTAATCCTTCCCCATATCTCATAATCTTATCGGCTAATTGTTTTTCACTATTACTTATCATTTTCTGAATGTCTGTAATATTGAGTTGTTCATTCCTTAAATTTTGTTTCATATATTCTCTCTTCTTGCAATACTTTTCATCTCATTATAGAGTTTAATGCAAAGTATCTCCAATGTGTATGCTGGGCAAACCTTCCATCTTTGTACTAAATTAAATATTTAAAATACTCAGCAGGTTTAATATCCTTAGGACATTCTGAATGAAGATCTTCACATCTATATAGATAAAGCATTAGAAATGCTCTCGCTATATAGCTGGATATTTGAAATTCATTTATAGGTATACCGTCAATTTCTGACTATAGCAATATTGGATTGTTGCTTAGACACGATTGAGTATATCATTAATAGCAATACCTTCCTAATGTTTGAAAGGGATGCAGGTACGAAAGTGTATGATATTGATTCGTCTCTGATTTCGTCATTATCAGAGTGATTCTCATCGGTTATTTGATTATTCTGAATCTGTGGGAGCTGGTCAATGATAGATCCGTTTTCTGGTAAGCGTTAGAAAATTTTATTATCAATAATTATATTTTTGTAATAATAGTTGTTTACTTTTAGCTATAATAGTACATTGCCAACTCTATCTCGTTATATGGTAAAATCTCTGAAAGCTTTTGTATCATTTGCTGATTGACGTCTTACCACAAGTACATCCAGTGACAATGGGTGCCTTAGAAGCTAATTTGTGAATTCTTAGATATCTTGTGAAAAGTTTATGACATTTCTCCTGTACCCATTTTATCCTTTCCGTAGTCTATATACTGTCATTATCGTGAAAACTTGTACTATAAGCATTTCTTCAATTTCTGTGAGCCCTTGAAGTTCTTCTGATACATCTTTCAGATCCATATTATTTTCTGCTATAAACTTTTTGATAAATGCCTTTTCTATATAGTAATGATGGTACTCTCCCTTTATAAGCGTCATCAAAGGTATTCGCTTATTACACGTGAGATAATAATTATACTGAATGTTCTTCATCTTGTTTCTGAATTTCATTAAAATATGGTGTTAGTCCTCACTAATTGTTGTAGCTGAAATTGATTTATCAGGTATGATTGTATTATCATTGTCTTTTTGAGTTATTTCTTGACGCACTGTAGTTTTGTGACATTTTTGTTCTACAACACTCATTTCTATTCTTTGTTCTATTTCATTTCTTTGTAATTGTTCCGATACCTCTTGATATTTTTTCTGCTTACTTTGAGACTTACGTTTATGTTCATTTCATAGTTAATACGCAATTCACGTTCTTCAAATATCTTTGTAGATTTTTTTGACTTCTTAGGATACGCATATTTGTAAGTTATGCTTCCTGTTCTTCAACTGTTTCATCTACTCTTCTTTAACGTTTTAATTCACATTCCTGTTTAAGATATGTTTTTCGTTGTTCAAGTCCTTCATGATTTTTACTGTTACGTTTTCAGATTATTTTAGGATTAATAGAGTTAGTATTTGAATCATTCATTTTATATTGCACTTTGATTGATATCAAATGGATGAAATATTATAATTTGATCTTTATTAATTTTATTAATTTATTTTGATTTTGTATATTATCTGAGCAATTTAAATACATGCTCTAAACTATTTATCCTCCCAAATTATATCTCTAAAAAAACCAAATCAATATTACTGAACCAATCCGACCAGTTAATATTGATATATTGATATATGATATATTAACTTTTTTTTTAACTTAGATTCTAGTGATCAGTCGCTCAAATTTCCTAACTCTGCAGCTCATATGTCTGATATGTCATTGTATCCAAAAACAAGTCCCTTCTGGCTACATTTAAAGCTGATCTGAACTGCCAAAATACTAGCCTTCGCAACTGGCTATATATCCTGAATGCCATATAGCTAACCTCTAATACGGTTAATATAAAGGATTCTGGCTAATTACTGGAAAGAGAAATCTTTTATCAACCTAATTCAGAATAGCTGTCTGACATAGTTAATACGCTCAGACTGTCAAAATCACCCTAAGAATTGAACTCAAGCCTCTCAAACCTTAATTGATTCATAGACGTCATGGTACTTCAACTAGAAGCTACCTATAACCCACGACTCTTGTTCAATTCAAGTTATACAGCGTCTACTATTAACCTGTCATGTCTTGTTATTGGTAATAACCCCCTTGCAGATGATGCAGCACTTGCCTATTATAGGCTAGCCCTTAATACAAGTTCTGAACTCAATCAGTTCTGTGTAATGTGATCATTTGCGTAATCATACAGGTTCATCATATTCTACAAGTATGTGATCTTCAATGCATATGGTTTGTACATATCCTATGAAATTCATTCCCAGAATCGAACTGGTAAAACCTGCAGTAAATTAATACTGCAATCTGTACTTGGCAGGTACTGAACTAAGATCTATTATAGTGTAACCTACAATAGGGACTCATGCCTTGCAGCATAAGCTAGGAATGCCAATCCTTTATGATATATTAACTACTATTTTGAATATTACAGTATTATTAGAGTTTTTAAATTAATTTTACTTTTTTTAAACAATTTTATTATTTTAAATAAATAAAAAAATAATTATATAATAAATAAATTAACTTTTGCTATTGTTATTGATCGAAATTATAAAATAAAATTAAAAAGATATCTTACAAAATATGTTTCAAATTAATTAATTTTACTTTTTTGTAAATTTTATTATTTTATTAAATAAATAAAAAAAAATAATTACATAAGTAAATGCTATTGATCAAAATTATGAAATTAAAAAAATTAACATGCTGTATTTTCTTTGACCTTTGTCACGTATTCTAATGTATGACGTAATTGATTTTAAAATTTTTATTTTATCATGTTACATAAACTACATTATTTATTGTATTCTTGTATTATGCAGATTACATAAAAATTTAAATGTGATTTATAGCTCCAGACTTAACAACAGTTCCCGTTTTCCTAGTAATATATTAAAATAATCTATATTTAATAGTTTTATAATTATTAAATATTACTATAAAAATTTTAAGTAACTATTAGTAAATATAAAATAAATTTTAATTATTTATTATATAAAGATAATTATTTATAATTTTTTTATTTTGATCTTAAAAATTAATTATAAAGATTTTTTATAAATATAATAATTTAATCAAGAGTAAATTTATTCATTGCATGGGTGATACTCCTTATACATCACCTTTATATATATACCTAACCCTAGCTTTAACTTTAACCTTATCCTAACTCTAATCTATGTAATACTAACATATGTGACAAATAGGATTTCACACATAAAAAAATTTCTAAGTTCCCAAAATATATATGAAAAATAAAAAAGGGAGGGGGTGTGACATAGGTAATAAAAGGAGGTGATAAAAGGAGGCGATGATATCATGCCTGCAATGAATAAATTTATTCTTTAATCAATTATATAAAATTAAAATTTATTATTTATTTATAAATATTTTTTTATTTTGATTTTTATATTTTTGATTATTATTTTTTTTTATTTTATGCTTTTAATTTAATTTACATTATTAGAATGATGAATTATAGTTAATAAGTATGTTGGATATAATATGAAATATTCTTTTTTAGTTATTTTAAATTATTATCTTAAAATAAATTTTTTTTATAATATTAACTTTTAACTAATCTTATTAAAATAATTTAAATATATTTGAAAATATGCCAAGATTTCAGATATTATGTAATGGATAGATAATATGCTAAATGTGAAAGATTTCAGATATAGCAAACAGATTCCAGACAGAGATTATTTACTATTTTTTCAAATAATTTGTTGAAATTGATTATAAAATTGTCATGTAAAAAAACTTAAATAATGATGATTTGTTCAGTTTCTTCATTAACTGTATCTAATTAATTTGTATTTTTAAATAAATCACATACCTTTTTTGTTTTATTTATAACCATAAACGTTTATGTATCGAAGACATTATATATTGAATCAATATCCTAAGTATTATGAACGATTTATGTTTTGTAGAACAACTAGAGATCTATCTATAATTCGTCCTGTTTCGCTTTGACGATATTTTACATATTCTTTCTTATTTGCTTGCTTTATTACTATTTATTTTATTTACTTGAGAAATCATAATTAGTAGCTCAATCGAATGACAATTATTTTCAAATAGAAAGCTTGTTTCTACGAAATAAAAGGAAAACCGGAACATTGCAACGATGTTTATTTAGTGTTTGAGATCAGACCGATTTCTAACTGTAATATAAAATATTGAGAACTTTGTAAACTTATTAGTACAAAAAGCAGACAAACCTTCGATTGAACGTTTTCAAATATTTGCTGGAAAAGATTTGGAAAAAAAGTTAAAGTGCTACTATCACATTTAGGCTTATTAATTAGATATCTTTATTTATAATTCGGTCATATTGTTTCATAATCGTAATTATATAAAAAATAGTTAATTCATAAAGAATACTTAGAAATTATAAGTAATATCCTATCAATTATTTTTCCTTTTTCTATCACATCTCCTTTAATACATATATTATTTTGAAATTGAATCATAATTTTCTCATCTTAAAGTACACAATTTCTTTTTCAATTGTTTTTAACTGAGGTTATCGTTATACGTACCTATAAAAGAAAAAGTATAGATAAAGTAGATACGACAGAAATTTATTAGATTAAAGAATAAAACGTAATAAAAAGAAAAGAAAGATCTCCTCAAAAATAAGAATCTGGTCCCATTATTGCAGAAAATGAAATGTTTAGATTATCAGACAAATTAAAAACTTTTGAAGCATTATAATCGGAACTTTCTATCCTATCTGTTCCTTCAGTTACAATAAATGCATTCTTATTGATGTCTTCTTGATAAATTGAAGTAAAAGTATTCTCAGATACAACTTCAATTTGAGAAATATTATTCCATTTAGAAATTTCTTCGTCGTAAATTTCGGCAGTATCTAAATTTCCAAAATCGAAATAATCACCGGAAGATAAATCTGGGCTTGGATATTCCAAATTAAAATGAGAATTCGCATTTATTGTTCCTTCCGGAGTTATTACTTCTATGGAGCGGAATTGCTCAATCTCTTGCGAATTCAGGTAATCATCAAGAGAAAGATCTGGGCTTGGATATACCGATTTTTTATCCGGACTTATTTCGTTATTATTCGATTTATCATCTTTAGAACTAACGTGTTTCTCATCTGACGACATTTCAGCAGAAACCGATTTATTGATAGAAGAATTCGTGGCATTTTGTTGTTGATCAGGTAAAGAAGATTTAGATGGATTGGATTTCTTGAATTTGAGTAATGGTTCCGTAGCTTTTTTGTTATTTGTCTTTGAAGAATGTGATTTTTGTTGTTTTGGTTGAAATGAAACTAGATTCCATTTCTCTCGTTTTTTACGTCGTTCGATTTTGGGGTACAATTCTTTATAATATCTAGTTGCCTCTTGTGCAATACGCTTATATTCCGCTTTTACGTCTGAAGATTCTTCCTCCCATGATTGTGAAGCCATAGAAGATATAACAGTCATCGGCAAATAATAACCATACGAGCGAGCAGTCTCAACGCACAATTTCCTATAAATAATGAAGGCATTTGGAGCTCGTGCCAATATACGACCACCAGATGGTTGTTTTGCCACCAAATCTCTTGGATTGATAATCGGCGGAAAGGGAGGCTTAAAACACGGATTGTTACCACAGTTTATGACTTGGTTAGGATATAAGGGATCGCTAGAGTTGATGAAGACACAAGCTCTTGGTATTGGGCTTAACACGTGTGAAATTTCGTTATCAACTAATTTATTCATGGCCGACTGATTACAAGTTTTTAGAATTAGTAACGATTCGTTTTAATTGTCATATCAGGGCAAAGACTTGATATGAACGTTAATTTTTCATATATTTATGCTATTAATATCGTCACACAAATAAAAAATAAACCTACAAAAAAATTTGGGTTTACATGATATGTACATACATGATTTCCATTGAGCGATCAATTTCCAGTCACATTTCTAATATGGAAAAAGTAAGGATGTTTGTTTAATATAATAAATAATATATACTGTATATATGAAAAAATCATTAGTTTGACCGTTTTAGGTTTGTTTATAACTAAATCAGTCGTGACGCAGTTCTCATAAATATCAGTTTAAATAATATTTAATTTTAAAATCCATAAAATATTATCAAAGGATTTTATTTTATTTTATTTTATTTTTTCTGTGCTTCTGGCTGAATTGCGTTTCTTCGGTCCAGAAGGTGTCACTCTAAATCTAATAGCGCTCTTTATCTAATAGAACCAATGAATAGCTGATAAAAGTTTATTACATAATGTTCTAACAGATGATTACTTGATATTTACAAGAGGAAATCGATATAAGCGGTTAGACGTATTTTAATAATCATTAAAAAATTACTGATTGTTTTTCAGACAAATTTTAATTCCATGGTGTAATGTTACATTTTCTGAATTGTATTTACTCAAGTTTAGAAGCATCTTATTTCAACAGTTTCTTTTTATTAAGATGCATGGATCGTGTGATATTTTACAAATAAAAATCCTTATTTCCACATCAAATATTTATTTTTTTTTTGACCAAAACCTCAATCACAAAAACAAAAAGTTTTTAAAATCAATCATCCGAGTTATCTCCTGATTTTCACCCTTGTGAATCAAAACCGCGTAAACAAGTCGTTAATGAAGAATGTTCGTGTAACTTTTTTCATTTCAACGACATCTAAACGCGGAGTCTTGTCGCCGTCAGTCTTAAAAAAAATTTGTTAAACTTAGAGTACGCGCTGACATGCTTTATATATTCTGAATAAAATGTGTATATTCCAAATTCGCGTTACGCAAAGAAAAAAACTACCTTAATATGTAATGTGCAACATATTAATGGAAAAAAAAAGATGATTATTTTATCTCGGTAATTCTGTGAGACAATAATATTTCTAAATTGATGTTTGCCTTTGTTATTACTTAACGGACCCTTTTTGGAGAACCCGAATCCTTGCAAGTTCAAGAATGAACTATGGATTGTTGCAGAGGATCTCCTAAAAGAAAATTATTTGGTATTCATTTATTTAAATTGGATCACATATTTCGCCTTTTTTTTTTTAAAAAAAAAAAAAAACAAATAAAAGTTTTTTCAAATAAATGATTTAGGAAATTAGTTAAAACACGTAATTTTCCGCTATAAGCATTGCTGCGGCGCGAACTTGCTGTACGACATCAAAACAAATGATCACCACATTTATAAATGTTGTAAACCTTTAATTAATTTCTTTTTGAATGGTACGCCATATCACTGCGCAACTTTAAAATGTTGTACATTTACATTTTTCCTCACATTTCTACAACAAAATGTATGTCGATGTAGCATAAAATGAGAAAATAAATGATAGGTATCTATTAAAAGTTCGTTACATAAGTGTAAACAAATCAAATCATTTGATTTATTTTAATCGTTTTAACACAAAAGTGAAATTTATTTATATCTTTAAAAAGTCAATTGTATTACGCTGTCAATTCGATTGTTATACAAAATTGTTCTTTTTAAAAAAAAAAAAAAATTTGGAGTAAATTTTTTTGTTCTCACCATTAAAAAAAAAAATAAAACAAAAATGAACAACAAATAAAAATCATTCTCTACTAAAATTAGAAACGGTCATAATGGAATGACTATCCAATTAGGAAATTGTTGTGTTTAACAAATTGTTTTGTTTTTTTTTAAGAGTATGCGTACAAATTTATCTATTTGTTAACGAAAGATCACTTTCAAATATACAATACGTTTAAGTTAAATGCTGTGATAAATTATAATTATACTTAATTGGTTATTTCCATGTGTACCTATTGCGAATACAAAGCTAAAAAAAAACAAGTGTTCAAAATCACAAAAATGTTCAGCATGGTAAATTAAATATATATTCTCATATTCATGATCAAGTCATGTTTTAATGCCGAGTTTTATTAATTTTACATATTTTACCTTGTCACGCGTTTATATTATATTCTACCACCTTAATAAAATATGTAAATATAATTTTCATTTAATCATTTTTTTTATTAAGTTTGTTTTGATTCTTTTGAATCCCGATTTTGTAGAAGAACGGGGATGTTCTTTCAATGATCATATGATTGATTATTATTATGATTATGAATGACAAAATCATCATATTATCTATTCATTCATTATTACAATGATTAATAAAAGCGTACTTCTTTTTTAAGTTACGCGTTAATTCTACTCATAATTAGTTAATAATGCAACCCTTTTAGGGTTCTCCTAATCTGTTATTTGGCAATCTACCCGGGAAATGGCTTTTCCCTTGCGGTATTCACCGAATTCATTAAAAATGGCGCTTATCACGTGAAGTTAACAGTTAACGTGATCGGCGTTGCGATTTGTCGATCGTTTGATGACCTAATATTTTGTATTATAATTACGTAATATCACGTTTAACCTTTAAGTTAAATACATTATATTGGTAGTAGAGAGAAGAGAATTACCAAAAAAAAATCTAAATTTAATATTAAAAAAAAAATTTTTTAATTTCTTTACTTTCTACTTTATAAAATATTTATTAGAAAAATTAAGTTTTGAAAGATATTTAAATAAAATTAATTTTCTAATTTTAATTTTTTAATATTCATTTTATATGAAAATCTTACCAAAAAAAATAATTTTTTATTTTTTTAATAAAAATAATTAACTGTTTATATTATAATTTAGAATATGCAAATTCTAATAATAAATCATCTAATAATTTTTAATAATTTTATTTTTTATAATAAAAAAACTAATTTATTAATAAATTAAAATTTGTAATTTAAATAAATAGTTCAAATCATTTAATAATTTTAATAATTTTAAAATATAAATTAAATATATAATTATTTATATTTTTATTATAAATATAAATAATTATATATTTAATTTATTATAAATATTATTTAAATTTAAATTTTATAATATTAAATTTATAATAATACAGTAGCGGTTATAAGTATCTGACCACCCGAGATCGTCCAAAATTATTATATAACTACCCCTTAAATTTTCCAGAAATATAATATAACACAATATATGATCACCTGTAAATT